GAATATTTATGGAGCCGGGAGAGGTCCATTTCTAGGTCAAAATTTTGGCATTTAAACACAAACCACTTTCCATGATATTGGCATTCAGAATAACAAAATTTAAGATTTCATAAGGCATCATATCTCAGTGCAAATAAAATAAGATATTACCAAATTTAAGGGTCAAACAGGAAAATATCAGCAGGCCACCTTAGACCTTTGGAAATATTGCTCTGGAGAATTCAAAGCCGACATAATGTGACTTGACTTGGCTAATCTTATAAAGAAAAAAAGGAAGTATAGAAAAGAGAATCTGTTATTCTTGGAAAATTACCATGTAAACGAAGATCTTTTGCGATCTAACCAAAGTTTAATTATAGCTGAGTTAGTTGAATACCATTTTATATGCAATCTCATAATGTCGAACATCATCGCCAATAATATATAGGAAAACAAGCTTTTCTTAGTCATAGTCTGCGATTTATTTGGGAGATACACAGGGTGTTATTAAAATTATATTTCAGTTTAAATTTTTCAGCAATACTATGGTTTTGTTTAAAAGGAAAGTTAAAAAAGTAATTTGAGATGATAGGGAAATATGTTTAAGCTGTTTTGATAACAGTTCTCCATGAAGTCAATTTTAAATTATGGAAATTGGCCACCTTTTCTTAGTTGGAACAATGTTATGCTGTGCTAAAACAACTTTTTAGTCCAACAGTTATTTACAAATTAAAAATGATAAGCAATGATTTGAATTATTAGTTCTTTTGATACTGCTAAATCACTTGAAGAACCTCAAAAAATCTCAATGAAAGAAATATGGTATGCCCATTCAGAGTTGCTAAAGATATGTGGAATGAATGGACAGTCTCAATAGGTATTCGTAGAAGAAAAATTTATCCCTTGATTTTCTGTAATATATTTCTTGTAATTATCAAATGTTGTTATGGAAATATGAAAAGACAAACATGCATTCACACAACATGTCCTTCAATTACGAAATTTGCCATTGAAGTCATTCCTAGAAAACGAAATGCAGAAATTAGGAGCAAACCAGAGACTAAAATCTGGAATCTTTTGTGTTTTGGAATGTGGAATCTGCACAGGTAGAATCCGGAATCCAGCACTTGGAATCTGGAATCCACAGCGTGGAATCCAGAATCTTATACTGTCCTGGAGTACCTTACATGGGGTGTAATGTTATTGAAATAATAATGTAAATTATGGAAATTATGGACCATAAATAACAGTATTGCAGCATAAGGAAATAAGCCAATGAAAAGTGAAGCAACTTCTGAAAAAACTGGTGACATCTACTTTTGGCAAAGATTTTTATTTAGGAAAAATGAAGTTTGCAAGCACTGAACAAGACTGCCCCCGACTCATATCACTTAACATACATGAAAGTGAGGTGCAAACTGCTTTTTAACAATCTAATGAGTGTGTTAGGGCTAATTAAATTTTGACTCGTATGCAAGGATGAAAATGAGTGTTCAAAAGGCATCCAAAGCAAATCCTATTCTGTTCTGTTAAAGTATTTTCCATGCCAGAAATGCTTGCTGTCTTTCAATTTTTCCAAATTTTGCCATTCTCTTGTGTCTAGCTCAGACCACATTCAGTTTTGTCTTGACCAGATATCTGTGCAAATTTCTCTTTATGGGCCACTTCATAATAATTTATCAAATATGAAATTTTAATCCTTTAACTCCCAAGATCTCATTAGTAATTCTTCGTATTGTCTGGCATGTTATTTTTATGATGTTAGTTTGGAGAATTGGTGTTGGATCAACTAATAATCCCCTGATTTATATTTTTCTTTACTCTCATAACTTGTCTGCTTGATATTGTATTGATATTGGAAGGGGGAATTCTGTCTTGGTCACTCATGGGAGTTAAAGTTTGAAATCATTTCATCTCTGCACATGTAGGTCACTTAATGCTTTGAGAGGGATAATGTTTTGTAGGATGTTTTGATTATAATGGTGCAATGAAGGTTAAGAAATTTAAATGAGGCCGCAAAAATTCAGTCAGCAGTGAATGGCCTAAATGTGTGAATGTGTGGCTTCTCTCGTCATCCCTCTCTCCTGACATTGTTCTTACCTTGCTGTTTTCACTTAGGTGCAGATTTGCCAGTATTTATTTTAAGTGCCCATCAGTTTTTCTCAAATTAAAAGAATTGTGAAAATTAATATTTCTCTGAGACCTTTTGCAAAAAAAAAGAAAGGTTATAATGTGCATTTGATCATGATTTTATCAGTTCTCAAAACTCACAATAATAGCCCTTGTTCTGTATTATTGAATACAATAAAGGAGCAATTAAAGGCTGGGCACTAACTTACTCATTGGGCAGACCCAGCATCACAGAACAGCAAAAGCTTGCAGATGAGCTGGAGTCATGCCAGATAAGACAGCCATAAATGCTGGCAATTTACGGCAATTCACAATCATAGCTAAGCAACAACAACACCTTTTTTTCCTTTATTTTTCTTGTAGCTAAGATACAGGCTGGACCTCATGACCCTTGCTAATGCCAGTCCTCCTTATGCCTGGGGTTTACTCCAGGGACCACAAGAACAACTTCAAATCCTAATTTCTGCTTGTTCTTGCTTGTTTTCCATGTCTCTTTAACCCTTTAACTCCCATGATCTCCATGATCTCAGTAGTGATTCTCATAACTGTCTGCCATACAAATCTTATGATGTTAGTTTGGAGAATTTGGTGTTGGATTGACTATTATTCCCCTGATTGATGTTTTTCTTTATCCTCATCACTTGTTTGCATGATGTTGTATTGATATTGTAAGGAGAATTATGTCTTGGTCACCCATGAAATGCAAAAGATTCAGATAAGAAGATAGATTAATACTGAGTGACAGGCACTTTGATGTTTTTACCTGCTCCATTGAGAAGCTTTGAAAAAGTAACTGCTCACACTCAATTTTTTCTATGCTGATGACAGAAAATAGAAAGGTGTGAATTTATAGTCTAAACTATATAACTCTTTCAAGGTGAAATGTTAAAGTACTTTTATATGCAGTCAGAGTTGACTCTGTACTGATCAGCAGTATTTTGTTTATGTTGAACATGTGGACACTTTGTAGGGATTTGTAGCCATGTTGAATTCAGAACAAGAGCTTTGATACTGAAATTAATCTGTTTTCATTTATCTGACTCCATGACATCTCTCAGACAGAAATTTACAGACTCTAAGCAACTTTAATCAGTTGGGATTAGTAAATGGAGACTTAAGAGAGGTTGGAGACCAGTTGTTTGACAACTCATTGAGCAAATGCACAACATGTTAGGAATATTGGAAAAAAGGTATTTTAACCATTTCACTCCTTGCCCAGGAGTGACCAAAAAGGAATTTATCCTTACAATATTTGAAAAAAGATGATGAAAAGGTGATGAACAAATGAAAAGTTGATGAGAATAAAGGAATGAAACATGAAAACATGAATTTGGGAATATTGCTTGTTTTGGCACCAAATCATTGGAGCCAAAATTATGAGAAATATATGAAGTACAGTGAAGAGAATTGATCTTTTCATCTTGGGAGTGAAATGGTTATCTGTTTACACCCTAACATTAGTATGCATATTCTCTACATTTTTCTCTATACATTTCCTATGGTACTGGCAAGGAGAATTTGTTTGACCATCAAGAGCTTCTTAAATTGCAGATAATTTCCTTATTCACATGAACTTTACATTTTATTCAAGAAGGATACTGTATGCAGAAATTAGAAACCAGTTACTCTTAAGAGGGTAAGGGTCAAAGAGAGCCACAGATACTTATAGCTGATAATTAACTGATAGTGTGTGGGAACTTAAATTAGTTCAAAGACACTAAATGCATCAAAAAAACAAAAGACAAAATTTTTTTTAACCCTAAAGATGCAACTTTTAATTCCCTTCTTTAGTGCTACACTTTCCCTCGAAAATTAGTTATGGGAATTTTGTTAGATCAAGATAGCATTTTCTACAGTACCTGATATGTTTGAGTATTCTGAAAACCTGTGTGTTGGCTTGATTTATGGATATTTAAGGGGGAAGTTGGCCATGTTAATCAATTCTGGAAGTTAAAAGATTAATTTCTAAAGAACCTTTTTGATTTGACTCTACGCTATTCACATGATACTTTGCGACCTTTGAGGCTCAGGTCAGTCAAAACACGGATCTTGACTTGTAGGGTCTTGGGGAATCTTCCAGCTGTAGTTGTAAGGAGTTGTAGCTCTTAACGACAGCCTTGCATTTATACAACCACCTTTTTAATTAAATATTTCACTTATGCCATAGTGAAAATTTGTTGAAAATGTGCAGTGTAGATGTCATGTCTTTGATAATAGTTATTGTTGTAACAATGATAATAGTTATAACAATGACAACTGTAACAATGGTATAGGTAATGATAACGATCTTAAGGAGAATAAGAGTGATACTGTGATTGAATAGAGAATACTACATGGGCGTGCGTTGATGTGGAATTTCTCTTCGAGTATTCAACTCGATATCTTCCGAGTGAACGCAGTGAAAGAGTGAGATATCTCGTTGAACAAAAGAAAAGAAGAGAAATTCTATATCTACAAGCAACCATGTATTATTTTGTTTATGAAATAAATTATATAGGCCTTTACTGACAAGAATAGGATACTTTGCGGATGAGTGACGCGTGGCGAACACTTCGCCGTATATTCTTCAACCTAAAAGAGTCATTGACGGGAAAGAGAGTGATGTGTTAGCAGCTGATTGGTGATATCAAAGACACTCAGAAAGTTATCGTAATTTTACACGTGTGCAGTTACAGCTTTTCTTAGGCATGGAAATCCTTGTAAAACACCGCAGTTTATTACGTATTATAAAGGTTGTTAAATTGTTCCCTTGGGCTCTCCAAGAAGTAATGTACGAAAGAGAAAAAAGAGTCCCCCAATGTGATGGTATCATGCCTCGGTTTCTCTCTTTCAATAATCTTGCGAGACTCGTTTGAAATTTGTTTTGTGATTGTGTTACAGACAAGATGTCGAGATGTCTCTTAACCACAGTGAAGACAATGAAAAGTCGGCCCGTTCTACAAGAAAGACCAGAGGTGAAAGGAAGTTTGATTGCTCCCATTGTGATAAAAGTTTTACCAGAGCGGAAATCCTCCGTCAGCACGTAAGAATACACACGGGCGTAAAGCCTTTTAAGTGCAGCCATTGCGACAAGTGTTTCAGACATGCAGGAACCCTTATCCAGCATAAAAGACTGCATACTGGAGAAAAACCGTATAAGTGCAAGCATTGTGAAATGCGTTTTAGGCAGTCAGAACAACTATCTCGACATGTCAGAGTTCATACTGGAGAGAAGCCTTTCAAATGCAGCCATTGTGACAAGTGTTTTAGTCAGCCTTCAAACCTTCGCCTACATAACAGGGTGCACACGGGCGAAAAACCCTTTAAATGCAAGGTGTGTGACAAATGTTTCAATCATTCAGGAATCCTTCGTACTCATAGTAGGACACATACCGGAGAAAAACCCTTTAAATGCAATGTTTGTGACCAGCGGTTTTCTACTCTTGGGAACCGAAACCAGCACAACAGGATACACACAGGAGAGAAGCCTTTTGAATGTAAGCAGTGTGATAGGTGTTTCAGTGATGCTGCAACTCTTCGTCGACATAAAACAGTGCACACTGGAGAAAAGCCTTTTAAGTGTAAGGTTTGTGACAGATGTTTTAACCGATCAGTAAACCTTAATCGACATGTCCAAACACACACGGGGGAAAAGCCTTTTAAGTGCAGCCAGTGTGACAAATGTTTCACACGTGCAGCAGATCTTCGCCGCCATGGCACAGTGCATTCGGGCGAGAAACCTTTCAAGTGCAACCATTGCGACAAGTGTTTTACACAAGGAGGACAACTTCGCCTACATCTCAGATTACACACGGGAGAGAATCTTTTTAAGTGTCACCATTGTGGCAAGTGTTTCACTAACTCGAGTCACCTTCGCCTACATGCCAGTGTACATACGGGCGAGAAGCCTTTTAAGTGTGACCAATGTGAAAAATGCTTCAGTCGAGCTTCGGACCTTCGCCGTCACAGCGCAGTACATGCCACTGAAAAACCCCACAAGTGCACTGAGTGCGGCAAGTGTTTTAAAGAAAATGGAACACTTCGCCAACATGTCAAAAGACATACACGGGAAAAGCCGTTTCATTGCGAGCAGTGTGGGGAGTCCTTTTCCCGGGAAGGTCACTTTCAGCAACATGTTAAAGAACACTGGGGAGAAAAGCCTTTTAAGTGCTCACATTGTGTCAAGTATTTCAGCCAAGGATCAGATCTTCGCCGACATGTTGCCACCGTTCACGCGGATGTAGAAGAGCGCAATGCTGCAACTCCTCGCCAGAATAAAACCGTGCACAATGGAGCAAAGCCGCCTTTTAAGTGTGAGATCTGTGACAAATGTTTCACCCGATCAGTAAACCTTAATCGACATGTCCAAACACACACAGGAGAAAAGCCTTTTAAATGCAGCCAATGTGAAAAATGTTTTGCTCGTGCTGCAGATCTTCGCCGCCATGGCACTGTGCATTCGGGTGAGAAACCTTTCAAGTGCAAATATTGTGACAAGTGTTACACCCAAGGGGGACAGCTTCGTCAACATATCAGACTACACACAAGAGAGAATCTTCTCAAGTGCCAGCATTGCGACAAGGTTTACACCAACTCAAGTCAACTTCGCCTACATGCTAGAGTGCACGTCGAGAATGAGCCTTTAAATTGCATAGCTCACACAGAAGAAGTGGACGAAAACATGCAAAACCAAGAAACACAAGATGACACTTTGTGTGCCGAGGTGGTGGTCGCCCTGGATATCATGTAGCTTACTTACCTTGTTTGGGACAGACGTTGTTATCGGTGTAAACTGTTGGACTTTTCAAACGGTACGTATGACGGCCATTTAAAAGACGTGTACCTATGTTCTATTTTTTTGCGCTGTGTAGTTAATATCAGGAACTTTAACCCTAGAAATTTAAAGTGGACAAGTAGTTTAGAAAAATTTTTGATCAAGTTGCAAATGTACCTTGAAAGTGCTTTGCTTCTGTTGTATTTGGTTCCGAAAATTCGCGTAACCCCTGAGACCAGTCAGATGCAAGTAAGCTGTTAACACCTTGTGACGTCATGATCTTAGCATCCACTTTCCTTTTATTTCGGTTCTGTTAGGCTGTTGTTATAATTTTTTCGTGGTTGTATGTCATTCGATTGAAATAAGCTGTACACGTTTGCACGGTTAAGTTTTATTTTAACTCGTTCTGATTTTCTGAATTGGTAAAATTTATAGTGAATCACTGAAAAAGATTTCTTCGCAAATTTCAGTTTAACATGAACTCGTGTGTAGAGCTCCGTGACTGTTATAAGTATTGGACACAAGTGGCCAAATTAAAGGATACATTTTGTAAGTGATTGATATTTTTCCTGTTTCATGTTATTAAAATTGATATTTTGAGCTCTTCTGTTTTCCCATTTTAGAGTTTTTATCGTTTTGGGGAACTCGAGGATACATGACAGTTTTTTTAAGTCGACCAGAGTGTGTCAAAATTTTACATTCGAACGTCGTGAAACATTCCGTGTTACCGTGGCAACGATCAAGAAGTAATTTTCTGCATTCCCTCAGATTATCTCTTCGCAGTCGAACAATTTTTACACGTAAATTGAAATGGTGGGCTTGCCATGGCAGTTGCAATAAATAGGCCGAAGTAATGGGAAAACCGTTAAACAGTTTTTAGAGACGGTGTCCTAAAAATCTTCGATTGCCTTTTGCTCAATTTAGGATTAAGCAGTTTGGGGCAAGGCCTCAATGAGAGATGAATCTCAATTTAAATACAGCTGTTCCAAAGTTATGATGCTGCCAAGTGTAGAGTTGATTCGTTGGCTGTGATGCGAAACTATCTAAAAAAAAGAGCTCTGAATTTAAAGTCTTAAAAATATTTTACATTTGTATCACATTGGACAACTTTGCAATATATATATATTTTTTAATAAACAAAACTTTATTGGAAACAGAAATATCATGGAATCAAAAAAAACATGTAAACACTAATTTACAACAGTCAATAAAAAAATAGCAAAGTAACAAAATGTATTTCATAACCATTACACGTAGTTCACACACAAAAAAAGAAGAAAAGCATGAATCAGAGTAAAAGCTTGTCAGTTGCCACATGTAAGTTAATAAGATTTGCCACCATTTTCAATATGGTGCTGTTCAAATAACTTGCTCACGAATTAATCTAAATTTGGCTTCTTGTATGCCCTTGCAGGTGCACAAATATTTCTTTTGCGATAAAAACAGAAGACGTGGTCTACTTTTAAGAGGATTTGATGATTCCAATGGAGAGGAGTCTTCAAACGTATTGAGTACAATTTGTCTATTTGAGAGTTTTATCTTAGTCTTGTGAACATCATTAAACCATCCTAATGTTTATGTAAAGAAATCAGTTGATTCTTGACAATGTAAGTGTGTTCAATTGAGTCTGGATTAAGACATAGAGGGCACTTGTCATCAGAGGCCAATTTATATTTCATCAGTTCTTTCTTGGTAGGAATTATTCTGTGCATAACTTTAAAAGAGAATTCTCTGCGTTTATTATCTTTCGAAGACTTATATATATATCCACAAAACAGTTGCTCCAATTAGGAAGTTCTGTAAAATGTTTCTTCCAAGACCTAATTGCAGAGGGTTCAGTATCAAGTCTTTCAATAAACATTTTATAATAATTTTTACAGCGAAATGTAGTTAAAAATATTGTACTATCTTCAAACTGAAAGTATTCTGACGGTTCACTGAGTAGATCAGGGACAGGAGAATTAAGAGCCTTTCTTTTCAGATCTAAAGGAATGGCAGCAATTAATTGAAAATAATGCAAATAATTGACCTTAATTTCGAATTTATTTTGAAATTCTTCAAGCGTCAGAAATTTTTCCATTGAAATTTAATAAATCGCGAATAAAAAGAATGCACGCGATCACACCGAACGTTTCAAAATGATCTAATACGCCATTCACTCAAAAGCCGTCTCGTTAAACACAATTTCAAATATTTCATTCTTCAAAGAAGTTGATTAAATCGATCTTTGAGTACTTAAAATCTAGCACCATGAAAATGAAAGTTAGTGACCATTAATAAACATGTCTTAAGGCATGTGATACAGTGTTAAGTCTGGAAACAGCTCCTCGCATTGATCAGGAGGTGCAGCTTAGCTAATTAAGTATACTAAAGTAACTTTTTCATATTATTTCTCGGACGCAAAGTTAGGTCCGAGTACCTCGGAAAGAGCTGTACAAAAATTTTCCAAATGTTCTTTTCATAAATGCAATATATCAAAAACAGTTTAAATATAATTTTTCACAACAGCAAGGTTATATGCCTGTAGATTGGACGGAGAGACCAAGGAATGCATCCCTCTTAAATCGTTCGGGGTATGAACTTAAAAGTTAATTTATTTTCCCCTTTGTTTTATCAACAATTTTATTCGAAATCAAGCGCTTCTGCTGTAATTAGCTGCGCGATTTGGTAAATCAACAAGATACCCTTGAATCAGCTTTCGAGAAGTGTTGAGTTTTCCATTTTCCTAATTCTGTTTCTTTTCAGAGATTTCTATGAACGTTTCAATTTTCCGTCATTTTATTTTGCGCGATGGTGGCTGTTTCTTATGTTTTCCAGTGAACTTTTGCGCAGGAAATTGGCGCGCGGCCAGCTACAATCGATACCCTCGCGCACGCCCGACGTTTGACCGCAGTGTAACATCAGGCTACCATTCCAGATTCATGTCCGCCTTACTCCACGTGTATTTTCCTCCTCGTCTGAAGAACATCTGTTCATCAAATCCACTTGCATTTATGGCGTCTTCAACTCCCACATCTAGCAGAGATTTGGATGGAGTTTTTGCGCCAGATCTACAGTCCAGGAAACGCATCTAAGTGAAGAATAGGACCAGAGGTTAAAAATTCCTCCTTCAATTCTGCGTCGAAGACGTATCTCTCTCTCGCAATATGTGGCTAATTAATTCACTCAGGATTCTTTTCGAATTATTTCTTTTTATAATTTCCAAGAATCAGAACAGTTCTTAACCCTTTCGCTCCCTGAAGATCTCATTAGTAACTCTCTGTTTGCCATATAATTCTTATAATGTTAGTTCGGAGAATTTTGTATTAGATCAACTAATTGGATCAACCAACTCTGAAGAATCTTCCGGTCTTTTTCTTTATCCTTTGACTTCGAAGAATGACGAGCTTCTAATTTCTCCTTACAATTTCACCCCTGAATCAAACATTAAAGTAACGAAAATACAGGATATGATCCTTAAGTTAAGAAGCTCTAAGTTTTAAAATAAATTCTCCTTGTCAGCACCTTAAGTAACGTATAAAGAACAGTATGGAGAATATGTAGACTGAGATTAGGGTGTAAAGGTTTAACGATCGTTTTTGAAAATACTTACAAACTCGTCTAGAATGAGATACGAATTCTGCATCTATAAAAATAAAAACGGATGAAGAAAAGTTAGCAAAGATTGCTTTAAGTTAGTTTTTCTAAAGGCAGAGCAGTTCTTTTGTTTACCCTTTGTTAAGAGAAGATATCATGAGGATATGTTTGTTCAATTGTAAGAGTGACTGGCTTCTAATTTCTCCTTACAGTATCAGCCTTGAGTCAAATGCAAAGGTCATGAGAATAAAGGAAATGATCAGTAGTTTAAGAAGCTCCTGATTGTCAAACAAATTCTCCTCGTCAGTTCCATAGGAAAGTAAAGAGAATAATGTGGAGAACATGGACACCAATGTTGAGGTGTAAACTGAAATTTGAAGGGGAAACAGCTCACTTCTACAGATATAACAAGGAAAGCCATCGTGGAACTTTCTTTATCAAAAATTATAAAAAAATAATAAGGGTTTAATAATGAAGGTGAGTAGCTTTGTACAAAGCATTGTTAGGAATGCTAAAAGAGAAATCACTCAATTCGTTTACCTTTTCATTTGATTCAGGAACAAGACAACTTAACTTGGAGTGTCTTTCAACAAAATGATTGAATTCATCATCAGAAATTACAAACTTTTGTGCTTGTCGCAACGCATCTGTACCACAGTTTTCTCCCTCGATGAGCAGACACTGGAAAACCTGAGTAGCGTAAATAAATTCAGTTCGGTTTTTTGGTGGAACAATTATTATAAATCAGTTCTCAGATGGCTGACAATCTTTCACGAAACTACTTTTTTTACAATGTTTTCCGCGGCTTTCGTTAATTAGTGTAATGTTTTTACAGTAATCAATTGTTTAGTGTCATTCTTAGGTTATCCAAAAGTTGTGTCATCATTAATTCTAAACCACATTCGCTATCGTCATCATTATTTTCAAGGAATGTATAACTGTATATACTTCATAACAGTTATGTGAATTTATAAAGAAGTTAATTCATCGTCGGTTAGAGATAACCGGATCGACTAGTTATCAATCAAATTGGAAATAGTAGAGCTCTCTAAGTTGAAGACCCAATGCAATGGCAAATTTACTATTGCTCATTCAGTTGACAGTTCCTGTAATGCAAGAAGCGCAAGGATACGCTTTCTGAATTCTCTGAAACAAAAATTATACCATTTCACGACTACTCTCCTCAGGCGAAGTGCATATTGTTGAATAATCCCCTCCATATCATCTCTGAGATTATTCACTTGAGCAATCAGTTAAATCAAAAGAATTGTTCTCATTGTGCTCAAGGAATATTATTACATGAAATCCAATTCGCCTTTGGCGAATAATTGTCAACTGGTTTTAGGCAAGAGGTCTAAATAGTGTATATTTCGAATACCCCACCAACACTCAAAATGGTTTTGGATTTTTCTTTCTTTCAACTGATCACCAGTTAACTGCTAACCAAAGAGAGCCAGAAAGCAAATTACGGACTAAGACTCCCTTCTCGTCTATCTGTGCGTCTTATTATGGTGTGATCTGAAGGACATGGGCAGTGTTTTAACAGCAACTGGCTCCGTCTCTCCGAGCCTACCTCCCTACTACGCCCGATCATTTTCTTCTCCTTTTCAATCTTATCCAGGTTTGTTTGGCTGTGGCCTGAGATCGTTCATATTTGCCAGAGATTGAGTCGTAGGTTATTGCATGACCCGGTTACTTCATTAGATATGGATTTCATTAGAGCGAAATACATCACTTCCATTCTTAATCAATTTCCTAATTTTTACGAAAAATCCCATGATCTCCAAGTTTTTTTTACTGGTTTCTTTAGTCCTCTCATTCTACGTAAGTAATGATCAGTGCTTGAATTGCTTTAAACAAACTCTTCAACAGCCCCTACGAAACTGTAATAAATAGAAGTACAGTGAAAAGCTAACCTACTCGAGCTTTGCTCTGAGGCTTGACTGGTATACAGTGGAACCAAGCGGTACCGTATTAAGCGGTCAGTCGTCAAAGTTTCGAAATTCTTCCCCTTAATCATTGTAATTTTATCCTCTACTAAGAGGTCACCTCTATTTGTTACCCTTTCTTTTACAATACCCTTATTCTGTGGAACTTATATTAAGCGGTCACCCCGCCATTCCCCGTGGTTGACCGCTTAATGCAGGTTCCACTGTATGATGTTACACATCCAAATAGGGTAATAGGAATAACGCCCTAAATAAATTACGCGAAATCATTACTGATCCACACCTTCCAACGAATTGGGGCGAGTTCCTCGATGCGCTCGGTCATATCCTCGTCAACGTTAAACGTGTTAACCACCGTGTTGATCTTGAAAGCCACGTGGTACTGTTTGCACCAATCACGTATATTCTGTAAACACTTCAGGTTTCCCTTCCCAGACTGATGACGTCCAATCTGACGATTTTTCTCCTCGTCAAAACTGTCACACGACACAGCCATTATATCCAGAAATTCTCCTGCAAACGTTGCATAATGACAAATAGAAAAATTTTACTTAGATCAATAAATAGAGAAAATATGTGGACAAGCGTAGATATGGAATTTTCCCTCGAGTATTCAGCTCGATATTTTTACAAACTGATGAGCGCCGCGGACGGGTGCGATATCGAGTATCATGTATCATGTACCATATATCATTTTGTTAATTGTATAACCGCCATAGACCTGGACGCTTTGCCATTCATACATCAACAAGAGAGAGTGGTGTGAAAGGCGAGTGACGAGTCAGCAGCAGGTTTTAGAAATCATTTTCACGTACAAATTACCGTAATTTTACATGAATGCAGTTGCGGCTTTCTCAGGGCTGGAAATCCTCATAAAACACCGCAGTGTATTGATAAAAGGTGTTTTCGTGCTTCGCAGGCTGTCAAGTTTTCTTTAATCAATTTGACTGCAATTCGGAGCACGCTTCCTAAACACTGTTTGGCTGGTTCCATGTCTTTAATTCCAGTCGCAATTTAATCGAGTATTAGTTGATTTCGTTGCATCGAAGTTGTTTATAAAAGCCACAACGGTATAAATTTGAAATGATTTTAAATTTTCAGCTTTTTCATTATGTTACATACCCCTTGTAAGACCTCGCTGCGCACGAACCCTATAACATATGTGCGTGTATGAACAACTTCGAGCTTTGAAGTGGATGAAAGGATGAACCTCTAGGATACCTCTATTGAGGTGAAATTAATAACGAAATAGACAGGTTGAAAAGGTAAATTTAAGCTAAAGTTTGTCGATATTTGGCGCGAATTTTCAATTTTGAATCTTGATTCCTCTTGAAGTCCTCGATGCAACTTTTACAACTTTGTGACGCATTGCCCTAAAAGAAAATGCTGTCCTTTCAACCAATCAAACGTCAGTATTTACGATAACCTTATCATTTGCCAAATTTGTTGATAGTTTTGTTGTTGCGCTAAAACATCCTCTGGCGTTTGGAGGGCAGTCGATGAAATTTCGACTTTGCTTAGGGTGTTTCTTACCATATTTGGAAAACCATCGTTCCGTAACGAGGCTTCCATTGCACACGATTGAGACAGACTGCATCTTCAGATCCTCCTTACAATAACGCGTCAGTTCTCCAACAAATTCGCCACGTTTGTAGATAAAAGGTTCTCCTCCAGAAAAGTTGATTTTTTCCATCCCTAAAAATGAATGAAAAGCACAGAATCCTTGACATGCAGGTATGTATGTATATATGTATGTATGTATGTATTTTAACTTAATAGTCCATCAACGTAACTTTTCTGGGTCAATACAAACAAATTGGAAATTAAGGTTGTTGTCAACAAGATGTGGTCAAACCCGGTCAAAATTCGTTTTTTTTTTGCTCTTTAGTTAAAAAGTTTTAAAGCTGACGTTTCGAGCGTCAGTCCTTCGTCAGAGCGAATGGATTTCGCCCTTAGCATTCGCTCTGACGAAGGGTTAACGCTCGAAACGTCAGCTTTTAAACTCTTTACGGTGGCCAATTTACGTTATCAAGTCAGTTGATAATACTTAATTACCCTGTTATACTCTTTCACCGACGCACACCACAGTTTCTTTAGAAACTTACCCCCTGTGATCAAGCGTGAATAATATCTGATACTGGTTAAGCAAGCAGAACATAAACATCAACAGGTCACGGAATGGAAAAGGAGCATCAGAATATTTTACTCTTGTTTAGGGACGATTCTAGATATCTGGGGTTAACATCTGAGGAAATAACATCGGAAGGGAGCTAATTTCTTCGAGGTATCCAGAAAGAAATTACGATGGAACATTAAAGAAGAATCTGACGGGAGATGAACACAGTCTCAAATGCAAAATGAAGGGGGAAGACCTTGATTGAGACCGTCGTCCCGAGTGCCATCCGACACTTTTCCCATTCCATCTCTTCTCACTTTCAGGGAGACACAAAAAAGATTGCTAAAGGCAATTTAAGAGCCTCTTCATTCGAGCTCGTGCAGTCTGCTAGCCCAGTTGCAAGGACCACGCAAAGAGAGGGGATGGGGTTACTTAGATGCAAAATGAAAATCTAAGACCTAATGCAACGACTAATTTAATATTGCTCGTTGAATTGACAGTTTCTGTAACGTAAGAAGTGCAAGGATACGCTTTCTGAATTCTCTGAAACAAAATTTTTTTCTATTTAACAGCTATTTGCTTCAGGCGAAGTGCATATTGTTGAATGATCCCTTCCACTTCATCTCGGAGATTATTCACCTGAGCAATTAGTTATATCAAAACAATTGTTCTCCTTGTGCTCAGGAAATATTCTTTAATTCAATTCGCCTTCGGCGAATAATTGTCAACTGGTTTCAGGCAAGAGGTCTAAGTAGTGCATATTTCGAATACCCCACCAACACTCAAAATGATTTTAAATTTCTCTTTCTTTCAATTACTAGTTAACTGCTAACCAAAGAGAGCCGTGGAAAGCCCGTCTGACCGAATAATACAAATTTCTCGTTTTAACATTGATCTGCCTTAGTTAATGAAGCAAGCCTAAGGTCTGTGTTTGGCTTTCATTAAAACCCTACCTGCTTCTTTGAGCATCATTAATCCTCGTTTCGCCTCGTCAATTGGTAGAACGGATGAAGTTTTTGCGGTATGGAAGCAGAAGCCACATTTGTAGTTGCACTGTCTTGTAAAGTGATAGTTGACACTTCGAGGAATGATTTTATCTGTGGAAAGAGCGCTAGAGTGCAGCTCATTTCCTCGTAGGCCAACGCGCGTTCTTCTTCGGCCCAAATCTTTGTCAGGACTTGTTGGTATTTCTTTCGAAGCGTCACATTTCGCCTCTTTAACTTTTCTTCGTGTAGGTTTCTTGATCAAACGAGAGAAAACGGCAATAATTAATACAATCGCAATCAAACCGCAGAGTAGAGGAAGCAACAAACTATCTTCAGCCATCTTTGTTATCAGTAAGTTCTCAGAAAAGCACCCAGATTTATTCTCAGAATTTGGATGACGTCATTGGTTCATCTTGGTGAACAATGAATTCCGAGAAAGTACCCAGATCTATTCTTAACTTTTCGATTACGTCATTGACGTTTTGGCTTTAGTCCTTCATTATTTAAAGGTAAAAGCACCTATAAACCACATACAGCAAATTATTGCGCTTCGGAGAATGATAATTTACCTTTTAGAAATATGGATGCAATGGAGCAGAACGAGCAAGAAGCATCTTTTTGGTATTATTTATAGCGGAGCACCTGCGTAGCAGGTGCCCATGTTGATAGATAAAATCCCCGGAAAAGCATTAGATTTATTCTCAGAATTCTGATGACGTCGTTGAGGTTTTCATTTTATTTCCGCATCCGGTTCGTTCTTATTCAAGTGAATGAGGATACTAAGCAAATTTTAAATTTTTGTGGGTGAAACCGCAAACCGCTTTTCCCTCAAGTTACTGTCATTCATGCAATTTACCAGACGACGCTAGTGACTGTGTTTTAACCGATTAAAACTTTTTAATTCGAAATGCGTTCAGTGGAGAAGAAACAAACAAGAACGTTCAATGTATTACCTGTAGCGGAGCTTCGCTGCAAGAAGTGCCCATGTCGATAGAGGGAATTCCCAGAAAGCTCTCGATTTATTTTAAGGATTTCGATGATCTCAATGTCTTGATCACGTTACATCTGCCTCATTCTTATTCAAGTGAACGATACGGGTAATAACCGAAGTTTAATTATTTGAGGGTAAAAGTACACGTTGGCTCTTCGTTCATGATCTCATGCATGCAACTGGCCAGATGAGGCTAGTGACCGCGCTCTAGAGAATTATAACTTGCCTATTGGAAATGGAAGCTAGCACGAAGCACCTTCTATGCATCATTTACAACGGAGCTCCGGCGCGGCAAGCGCCCTTGTTGATGTAAGGAATTCTCGGAAAGCACCCTGATTTATTCTCAGAATTTTGATGATGTCATAGATGTCAATGATTTTGCATTAGGGTTACGTTCTTCTTCAGCTGAATAAGGGAAATAACCGAAGTTTAAATATTTGAGGGTAAAATGCCGATGGCGTCATGTTGATGGAAGGAATTCTCGGAAAGCACCCTAATTTATTCTCAGAATTTTGATGACATCATCGATGTCAATACAAATTTTATGAGAGGCTAACGGAAGAGTTCATCTAATATTGTGCAAAAAAGCCGTGTCTCTGAATTAAAAGAAAGGAAGAAATTATCCACAAGTTTTGGCAACGTATGAAATGAATGAACCGTCTAAAAGCTCTGATGTCCCGTGCCTTATGGCTCCGGCAAGCCTCAAGAGAACATGAACCATGCAAATATCTACGGTCAGGCACAAATCGAAATTTTATTCTTGTATGGAATAAAAAAATTATACAGCACTACAGTCTAAAACATCACGAGTAATAACACCAGTTAACCTTCTATACTAATAAAATTGTCTCTAATAAATGTCACCACGGTTATTTTCCAAAGTGATTCGTCTCAAAGGCAATGCTTTTTGTTTGCTATCAATACTTAGCCGTCAGGCGAGAATCATCATCACGTACTGAACAATTTAATATGGAACTTACGCACAAACGTTTTTGAGATGCGGGCGGCAACCGGAAGTTAAAAGTTCTCATATCTGTTTCTCATATACCTTTTCGGCCAGCACAAATTAGTTTAACATTACGGTCGATATATTGACGTTATTGCGCGCTAAAATCACAGTTATTTTATTCTTCTTCCGGTTTCCGTCCGAGTCTCTAAAACGTCTCTGCTTAAGTTCTCCAATGCTTCGCAAGATTCTTGAATCACCATATGAAAGATTTCGCGCAAAATACTTTCTGTAAGAGTATTAGCCAAAAAGCTGAACACATTTAAAACTACCTTCATTAGAAAAATCCCCAGATACTCTTGAAAGGAGTCAAGTCAAAGATTCTGCATCTTGAAAAGTCAAAGCTTAAATTTTCCAAGTTCAAATTGCTATATGCGACCAACCTCTCCATCCTTGATTTTAGATGGGTGTATTCTTTTCACATTGGTATTTTTTTAACTTACCAGGCTCAGAATATTTTGTGGATTCTTTCAAATTGTATGAAATTATGCACGCCGCAGAAAACGTCTCGACTATTGTGTAACGGCCCTTAAATTTAGCTTTACCTTTGAACAAACTACCTGAGATTTGCAAAGTTACCCGTCATTTTACAAAGAAATCTTGAGAAACTATGTTTAATCTTTTGGAACCATTGTGGTGAAGTCAGCCCTTAGTTGTCCGGAAGTTACAAAAAGGATTGCTGTCTATAAGACAAATAGTTCACTTTAGCGGCTATAGTTTTTGGGTTCAATCGTTAACTACGCAAAATATGAAAGAACAACAAGCTTGATATCATTAAAGGCCAACTGTAAGATTAAAAAAAAAACCCAGTCTGAAAACAATTCTGAGATTTCCAAATACGTTCATTTTTCATAAAAACTGAATTCCCTTGAGTAACTAGGAATACCTCGGGGGAGAGGAGGAGAAGGACTCTGTACAAAAATAACAGGAGTGGTCTGTACTATCACAGACATAAAACGCCACAGGGATTGATACATGTACCACAAACGGATTAAAAGAGATTTACAGCAGATCCAAACTTGCACCTTTTAGGTTTTCTGGTGAAATTTTTGACTGCCGCTCCTGTTACGTTATATGGGATGAGGGGGAGGGGGGTGGGGAGGTAATCAGGCAATCAGTAAACCCAGCTGACTGGGACCCATTGCGGCTCAGAGCTGAGCCCTTCGATACAATCCTTGAGTTGAGACAAGGCTTTATCAAGGTCGTCATTCACAATGACTTTATCAAAATAATGCGAGTAGCTGTTGAAAAGCTTCTCTGATTCCTCGGCTGTCCTCTGAAGATCTTCGTCCTGAAAACAAATCAAATATTATATAATTACAAATTTACAAAATCCTGATAAATGATTAGCTCTGAGCAGTAGCTGTTTGCCTCTTAATATTGTTAAATGATAAAATTACAATTATAGTTAATCTACAATATCGTAAGGGTTTCCTGTATTGGTGTTGGAAAGAAAAGGAATGGAAATATTATATTATTTTAAGTCATTTAATGTAAGTTATAAAAAGGGCAGGTTGACTACTTCGTATTCCTTCTTGGTGGTCTTATCTTAAAGGTTGAGTTTGATCACGTTCTTCTTGTGAGTTTGGCCACGTTCTCCTAGTGAGTTTAATCACGTTTTCTTTGTTGTGATCGTGAGGTTGACATGGAACTCGTGATAAGCCATGTACTTAAATAAGTTAATTTGTTAGTCCAGGAAGAGTAAATCTCCCTGGTAATAGGTCGCGCTCGACACCTTCGTGTTCCCAGAGGTAATTTAAGGGTAAACAGGTGATACCCCTCATGTTTCGCAACCAAAAGCAATTTAGGGGCGGTACTTGTGAGCGCCTTTCTTCTTTAACTCTTGTGACCAAGATGTTGTTATGTAACAATCTTTAAAGGTGATTTTCTCTTAAGATACACTTTCAGGTATAAATAGTACTCTGAAACAAGGTTATTTGTAATTTTTATATAGTCGATCTCGTTTCTGTTATGGCCGATCTCAACCGTAAAGATATGAAAATTAAGGTAGAAATTGATTTTGTAACTGCGTAAACAACCCTAAGGTGCATACTCAGTATGTGGGAACTATAATACGTAGTCAAGCGTGATTCGCTAGTTGAGATGGTACGATGACGACACAAGAAGATTGACGGCTTAGAAATGTCATCCGCAGTGTCACCTTTATAAGCGGAGACTCAAGTTTTCCCTGATATTTTGGAGTTAGTCACCGCTGTAACAACTTGAGAAGAAAAGGAATTAAAGAAGAATCAACCAAACCAACAACGAGTGTTAGAGAATTTACTTCTAACAATATAGTCCACGAGAAGTCCCTCTTTTTTCGGCGCCACGCGAAACTCTGGGAGTGGGGCGCCCGAAAATTACTCCACACTTCCAGAGTTTCCTTTAACAAGTAAGTACTCTAGTCGATCACCAGTGATAAAATGACCGGGTCGCATGCTTACCGTCTGTTTCTTGGTGATAGTTCCCTCTGATGTAGCTCGCTTATGAATTTCCCTCAGGTTATCAATGGGTGGCGAAGCAATAAATACGACAAACGGCATGAATTCTGGAGTCTTCAGAATCTTTAGAGCCTAAAATAAACCAGAATTCATTAGCCGAAAGAAATTGGAAAGCAGGCTTAAGAATCAAGTTTTTGCTTCGAAAGCCAGAGAGTTGGCAAGTATCTGTAGCGAAAAAAGTCAGCGACGCACATGTATGTCGAGCTTATTTGAAACAATCACTTCCAACCCTTTCACCCCTATGGGTGACTAGCATCTAGATTCTCCTTACAATACCACCTCTGAATAAAACAGTAAGGCTATGAGAATGAAGGAAATGATCACCAACTAAAGAAACTCCTGATTTTTTGACAAACTCTCCTTGTCAGCACCTCAGGAAATACAGTATGGAGAATATGCAAACTGCCGTCAGGGTGTAAAGGGCTATTGTCGGGATTCATAGCCTGCGAGCATAGCTTTGTTTTCCGCACCTAAGCTAGCTTATATGGATATCATCCTGCAATTGATCACTTGTTGCTGTTTGGAAAAAGACGCATAAATTCTTCCCAAGAATGCCGACACTCAATCCTCGTTTTCTAGTCTTTTCTCCAGGTCTTGCACACTAGTTAGCGAATCTCTCAACCAATCAGCTGCAAAACTTAAAAACAATCGCAACTTGGATATGCGCGTTTTCCCGCGCTTCAAGCAGTTTGTTTGTTTTCACTTTGAGTTCTCATTGGCTTATGGCAATGTAAATCTTTGTTCTGGGATTACTTTGGTTTTAGTTTTTCAATACACAATTAGAAACTGCTCTACATTGATTCAAAATTCTGCTTTTCCTTACCGTAGAATTAACATCCAGA